AGTTCACAAACAGTTTTTTGGCTACATGCATGATGAACACCATACATGGGCTTGTGCCATGTATCTGTACAATACATTCACTTGCCATAGCCCAGAGCCCAGAGCCATACATGTAGATGATGGAGTACAACAGGCCATGATGAAGCCCATCAGGCTACATGAAAGCTTGGTCAGCTTACTCTACATATTTGAGCTTAAAGGAATGCTAGCATATTGTTCATAACCAACCAAAGACAGCTTCACATGAAGTCATCAACTACAACATGTCTACATCACATGTACACATCGACACTGTCTCCAAGCTAATACATCTCATGACAATCATGTCAGAATACATTACACTATCACATGTATGTCAACTGAATCTCAACTGTATATAGTATTAAGTGTTGACATATGAAGCTTCACAGCTGCGCACCCTACTGATTGTTTTCCACCACATCTTGACATTCAAATCTTGTGTAGTGTTGTCATCTGCACTATTCACAGTGACCATGCTCCAAAATATTCAGCGCCTGTTGGTTTCAGTCATGTAGATATTAATTTCTTAATTAATTCATATCAACATTATTATTTATAAATATTTCCTATAAAGCCAAAAGTTGACACTACAATCAACATTTAGATTATGAGTGATGATGCTAGATTTTAATTTATGAAAAATAAATCTAAATTTGGAATCCAAATTTAGAATTAATAAAACCTTAATCTAAATTTGGAATGCAAATTTAGAATTGATAAAACCTTAATCTAAATTTGGATTGCAAATTTAGAATTGATAAAACCTTAATCTAAATTTTGATTCCAAATTTAGAATATATAAAACCATAATCTAAATTTTGATTGCTATCAGTTCCAAATAAGATTGAACCAACTGATTAACAGGCTGCTGAAAGGCAGGGAGCTACTCTTATAGGTGCCAAGTTCTGGTGTCTAATGCAATCTGTACTGTACTGTGGAAAGATTATATCAATTCAATCAACTGGTCAATGAATGAATTAAACTAACATTGCATCAATTGAACCAACATATCATAATCAACAAATAATGTTGTATATGTTAGGAAAGACTCTCCTGTCAGGCATAAACACCTATGGCACATAGTTATAGCGGTGATCCAGGCCAGTGCGCTCCATCACAGCCTTGTGATCATCAAATAGCTCTTTGAGCTGGATGTCTTTGCCCAACCACCTTATTGCAATACATGACATGACATGTCATTACATGTGTAATGCATGACAATACATTTCATCACAATGCATGACACATGACAAGTACATGTAATACATAACACATGTTCAAAACATTTAAACTAATGTTCAAAACATTCATGACAAGCAGCTGTAAAGCTTAACATCTAAGAGTGATACACTGAATGCAATCATTTACATACACTAAATGCAATCTAGGAACAAATCAATCAGATAGTTAGCCCTTGCCATATCACCCATCTTGACAGCAACTGCAAGTGCAACAAGGTGTGGCTTACTGCCTGTCTTCAAAAGTGGTCTGGTGGCTGTGGCTGGGAAGCCAGCTTTGGGTACACATCCAATGACAGGTACACCGGGTGGTGCTGGAGGTGCAGGTGGTGGTGGAAAGCTGCCTGGGAAGACTGGTTCAGGTAGGGGATTGATGGTAGCCCAAGGTGAGTCAGCAGCAGCACTAGTGCTAGGTTCATCTCCTTCCATCTCAACCTCTAAATCCTGTGGTTCCTGTGCCTCCTCAGCATCTACCTCCTTTGCTTCCTCTGCATCCTGTGCATCCTGTGCCTGTTCCTTCAGCTCCTGAAGCTCTAAAGACACATTGACATAGTCAATCATCTTATCGACCAAGAAGCCATAGCAAGTCCTCCATCCCAAGACAGAAGATACTGCTTCAGCATTCCATGGACACCAGAAGCTCTTCAGGTCACAACTGCACCAGGCCAAGGTTCTGGTGGTTGACCAATCAAAGGAAGGCTCACTGAGACTCTTGTCTGATTGGGGACTGGAACTCAGACAGTACACATCATACAGCTGACAGTACCAAAGGAAACAGGTCCTATCAGGAGCCAACCCAATATTGTCACCACCAAGCTCAGCACTTTTCCACATAGGGCGACGGTTCCAAAGCCCATGACCATGGTATACACCTATGAAGGGTAACACAGTCTTCTCATCATCTGAAAGGTATTCTGCCTCCCCCACCCTGCCAAGAACCAATGTGTCACAGTCATAGAGACTGACAACATCTGCTGGATCAGAAGGCTTTTTGTGGTGGTACGCCTTCATCAATGGATTGGGCTTAGGCTCTTTCACCTCAACTGACATCTTTTCAGAAGCATCCAATCTGCTTGAAGGGCGAGCTGATGAGGATGCTGAGGATGCCTTAGGTGGAAATGCAGGCTCAGGCACTCCAGATGCCTTAGGCTTTGGAGATGTAGCCTTCTTCAAGATCACCTGCTTGATGTGAAGCTTAGGTGCCATGGCTTTGGATGCTTTTGATCACTGGGATGATTGGATGCACATGCAATGCCCTAAGTCACATGTAATTGGCATGTAGTATATGTAATATCAAAAGCTCATTACTTGTACATGCATGGTCATGCAGTTCTCTGCGATCACCAGCTGCTGATGAACATGTATGTGAACATCCACTCAACTGCTCATGCATGTAGCCAGAAGACTTGGTATCAGCCCAAAGGCTTGCTTGGTGAGCCAACAAACACATGCATGACATCTCACAAACATGGTATGCCATCATACCAACATATGAAAACCATAGCTCATAGACATCATGAAGCCAAATTGGCTAATGCAACCTTACATGTTTCATGCCATCCAGCTATCATGAACCAATGATAGGCTTGCATAGTCATGTTTCTTTCAAATTGCAAGATGATTTATGTGACTGTACTTATGGGCCAACAATTGAGTTGATAATGTTTGTGTGACTTCTCTCAAGGATATTGCGCATCTATGCACACAAGGACACATTTTTTCTACATGGTTCATACTGCTTACTCATGCAGCCTTTTTGGCTGAAGCCTTATACTTTCCAGATGCTTTGTAGGGCCTCCTGGCAGAACCAGAAGCTCCTTCACTACCCTTGGCAAGCATCCACTGACAAAATGCTCTGACATTGTCAGCAGTAAATGCAATATGCAAGTCTTGTGTTTTCTTGGAAGCTGGTTGCACAACAAGTGTTCCATACTCTTCCAAGTCAAGCATGATGGGATCAATGCATTGTACTTTCCTCTTCTTTGCAGGCTTTGCTGCATCTTCAAATAATTTGGTAGGCTGAGCTAAGGCATCTAAGGCAGCAGTGCGCTTCTCCAGCAACTGCACCAAACCAGGTGAGCCCTTCAGAGTTGGCTGTCTTCCTATTTGTCCATGACAAAGCAGGTTGCACAAACCATAGCAAGCACTGGAAAGCTGCAGCCATTTACCCTCTCCAGACTCCATTTCCTTGACATAGCAGTCCTGGATTAGCCACTTCTTGTTGGTGGCCTTCAGGTACACAAAGTGTTGTTGCCCAACTGTCACATCTGGTAGCTCAGAACTTTCAGAAGCCTCTTCTACAAATTCTCCATCAGAAGCCATGATATGTTCTTTCACTGCGCACTACAATTGAAAAGATTGGATTGCAAGGAATGCTGAAGCCAGGTCAAGTAAACCATGCATGAATAAATGCTGCATTCAACACATGATGACACAAAACATGTAATGACATGCAATGGTCATGAGCCAGCAGTGCCTTGCGCAACCCTCATGCATGTCATGAAGAGCCAATCAGATTGAACATGTCATATCATGGTTCAAACCCTTCTGGACTCCCAAGTTGCTCGCTTTTAAGACTGCCAATCTCAAAGCCATTGTGGCTTGCCTGCTGCGCTCTCTATGCACAGCTTGGTGATGAGGATGCCTCAGGGGGATCAGCAAAGTATACATGTACAACTGTTGCTACACCTACCACATGGTTATCAAAATGGTACTCCCTACATCTATCAGTGGCAGTTTGTGCATACAGCCTCCTCTGTGAAATGATACCAGATGTATAGTTTCTGCTCCCTAGAAAAGAAGTCCCATTCATAGAGCCAACAAGGAGGAGCATGTTCCATGGCATGTGCGCTTGGAGTATGCAATGAGTCAATGTTCCATGGAAGCACAGGGTGTTCTCCAGGAAACTCCTCAGGGATTGCTTCACCTGGTAGAGGAAAAGCTTCCACTGGCTGATGCACCATGTCAGTGGCTCCATTGGCAGGTGAACTCTTTGTAGATGGCTTCTTTGTTGGCTTCTGGGTCTTCTTCTGAGCAGCTGCATTCTTCATGGCTGGCTTCTTAGTGGTAGGCATTTGGTGCGCTACACAAAGCACTATAAGTGATGAGCTCTACAGCACCTTGAGCTTTACATGTACACAACTGCACACCTCCCACAGCAAGACTCTTGCAACCCCTGAGACAACACCTTGTGGTAGCCATGTGCAGGCTTGCCATCATGTAGCGCACTCATGACATGAATGCATGAAGACTGGACATGTCATGTTCATGACATGTCATGCAGATCAATGCAATGAATGCATGAGTCACTAAGACTTAGCATGCCCATGCATGTAGCTATACAGCTTCATACTCAATGAACACAAGTGTGATAGCCTCCACTGCCTGTAGGTGATACCTATGATCCATGCTAAAGCCATACATGTACAATGCTAACACTAAATCCAATGCCCACACCAGTTGACCCACATGTTCATTGAAGCCCCATGCATGAACCAATAGCAAATGCAGGTGATAGCCACAAAGGCTTGATAGGTGAACCATTCAATGCGCACACTTTCACTGCAAACAACTTGTTCCTATAAAAATCTTTCCACTTTCAAAGAGTCATCCACTCATCCCATGCCAGTCGACTCACATGTTCATGAAACCCACAATGCATATCACATGCATGTAAAATAAAATGAACCAAGAAAACCAATGCATGTGTACATGTCAACTACCTCATGAACAGTTGTAATCTTATGCCTTCCTGGCTTTCTTGGATGGTGCTGCTTCAGACACAGCCATGGATCTCATGCCCAACTCAGAATGTGCAGCGACCATGTCTTTGTTGGTGAGGATCTTGATCTCAATGTCCCCAAGCTTGTGGCTGAAGGTGACCCACTTGTACTCCAACTGGCCCTCTTCAATCTCTTTGCGCACCCAAAAGGGACTCAAACTGCCTTCATACTCACCAGTCTCATCATTCCACTTAGGGTGCTTCATGGGGATGATGTAGTACAGGGTACCTTCATACTTGATCTCTCCAAAGACTTTGGCTGATGGCTGCTTGGAGACAATGCTTCCAAGCTTCTCAGGGCAAGGCACTAGCTGCAATGCACCCTTCTTCAGATCTTTCTTGGCAAACAAAGCCACTGTTGGTGTGCTTTGAACAAGCACTTGGTTCTCATCAACATCCAGTGCATTGTATGCCTCATGGAGGACAAGGAACACAGCACATTTTTGAGTTTCTTCCTGACACACAGGAGAACTAGATGCCCACAGGTGCTGCAATTGCTCATCAGAAAAGAGCTTGGGCATTTTCTGCTTTGTTGGCTTGATATTGCATGCAATTTCTGTAGCCTCAAACTTCATAGTGCAGATCTTGGTTGGTTCAAGCAAAGGGTAATGCTTCAACACGATGTGGGTCTCCCCAATCTCTGTCAAAGCCCAAATGCGCCCTGGCTGATCCTTCACAGTGTAGTTCTTGCCTACATCAAGGTCCAAAAGCTGCTTGGCCAAAAACATGGGGTTGTTGGCCTGGTCCAAGTCATAAGGCACTTCCTGCTCAGCTGGTGGCTTTGCAGTGGTGGATGAAGCAGCACTGGCAGCACTTGAGCCAACACCAGCTGTGGCCAAATCAGACTCCATGAGAGTCTTCAGCTCTTCCATGCTCCTGGTCTTTCCTTCTGTGCCCATTTTCTCCTTGGATGTGAGATGCAAGGCAAATCGAATACAGGCTTTGCCAAACATCTTGAACTGCATGGGCTGCTCCAACTTTGATGCCTTGAGTTGTTCCCAAAAGGTTGCAAGCAAAGACTCCACCTCATTGACCTTGGGATGCATCTTCTTGGCCTTCAAACCAGCCACATCAGTCTTTGTGATGAGCTTGGCCGCTGAATCAACAATCTTCTCTGTGGTACAGTTTGTCACCACCAAAGCAATCTTGACCATTGGATGCAAAGTAGTCTTTGCAAACTGGGTCTCAACAATGCTGGACATGAACTCTTCTCCAAGGGTGGGGTTGGTGCCAAACTGCTTTGACATGAATGCCACAAAGTCAATCATGCAACCATCAGGTCCACCTGCAACATATTCATTGCAACGTATATCTGTCACATGTGTAAACCAAAACAAACATTTCAACCCTGACAAACACAAATGAAGTGAGTTCATAACAAGCATGACCTTGCCTCCATACAGCTGAACAAATTTGCCAACATGTCGAGCATAGTGCTGCACAGGCCCTCCATGACAAAGGTCCATAGCCATCTTGGTGTAGTTGAAGTCCTTGGAGCTCTTGTTCTTCTGGGCCAAGACAATGCTGCTCATCAACTGCACTTCATTCTGCACTTCATATGTTGAATTGCTGGAGTTGCCAGCAGACTCAATCAAAGAAGGCATGGTAGGCCACTGCTGGGCAACAACATCTTTGACAATAGCCCATTGCCATCCCTGCTCAAGCATACAGGCCAGCTGCTTGTCCTTCAGGAGGTGGTTTCCCAAGCACCCACTAGGGCCAGCTATGGATGCCTGACTGGTCTGGCAACACTGTAGGATCGCTTTGCAGAATTGCACAGTGTGCCCCTTGGAGCATGTTAAATATCTTTCCTTTCCAGTGGGCTGGGGAAGCAGGTTGCTGGCCTCACTGGCCATGCTCTCATTGAACAAGATCTGTTTGTTCCTTGAAACCTCATCAACAGACAGCTCAAAGGCCACGCTCCCCCCCAACTGGGACATACTGCAATGATTGTGGCCCCCTTTTTATGCATCGAGTAGGGGTTGATGCCTGTCCCTCCCCTGTTCAGGGGGTGCACCAAGAACAAGTCTGGGGTGGCCTGCAAGGTGTATGCCAGACCACAGTTCAACAGAATCTTCTCCACCTCCTGCCACTGACCCATTGGTCCCATGGAGGATCCCAAAATGGAATTCACCTGCTGAGCAATCTCAGGCGCGATGGCTGCCATGTCAAAGAATGCAAAGTAGATGGAAGCTTTCTAACACAAAGAACTTTGAGCAGTTTCAAGCTTGCAGTATATAAGTCTATTGACTTGCAAATATCCAGATCAAGTAACAGCCAAACTGCATACATTCAGCCAATGTGGCTTGACATGGTAGCATGGCATGAGATGAATGCACATGTTCTTCACAAGACTTAAAAAAAGTGGTTACAAGAATTGCTACAGCCTATGCAAGACAACACGGCTCTAGCAAATGCATGCAGCTTAAACATGGACTTTTTCACATGCCAACAAAATGATTGTTGCATTTCATGTAGCCAATGTGGCTTGACAGTGGGACATGGCATGGAATGCATGCATTTCATGTAGCCAATGTGGCTTGACAGTAGGACATGGCATGGGGTGCATGCACATGGTTCTCATGAAGTCAAAAATGGCTTTATGTATGTGTTGTGGTGCATGCATGGCAAAACAACATGCTGGCCTGTAAGCGCGCCAAAGTTCTAGATTGGTATAACTACATGAAAAATAGTATGTATGCACTCATGACAGCCAATCAGCTTGAACATGACACACAAAGTTCAACACCACACCATCATGGACCTGCAGCCCACTATAACAAAGCCCATCCTTGTTAATCAAAAGAAACATAAACTCTCACAAAAAACAAAAAACATTATGAAATAAAAAACATCCACATCATCAATCCCTGTCATCACTTGTTGCATACAAATATTTGTGTTTTTTATTTCTATGTTGGTTGCATTAGCATTCATTTATGTTTGTAAAACACATAAAAATATGTGCATATATGTATTTAGATAACTACTCATAACCAGTTATAACCAAATCAGACTAACTACTTATAACTATGCTAAATGTTTATAAAACTATATAATAAATGATGTTAAGTTGTTGTAAAGTTTCTAGGACTTATGATTTTAAGTTGCTAAGTCTTATGGAAGTTATACTATAGTATACAATGTTATACCATACTTATACCATATATATATAAGTATGTTATAAATGCACTTATACAGCCTACTAACCTTTATAAGCCCACGGTTCATCCCAGTAGGGATCCAGAGCGTCCGTTTGACACCGACCGTCCGAGGAATTGGGGCTCGTTTGGAGCAGAACTCAATGGGTTAAA